AAAGGATCGTTCAGGTATGTTTAACTACTGTCCAGTTATCTGATTTTTTGTTTAAAAGGGATTATTCTGCATGAGCTACTTTTGAAATGGGCCACTCAGAATGAGGCAGCTGAAGAGCAAACACTTCATGTCACAGTAAATTTTCCTGTTGATATGCAATAGGAGAGGACGAAAGGGAGATGAATCCTGTTCACAAACTAATGATTGTTTGTGTTAATATATCAACTATAGCGTGTTCTAATATTTTCTAAAATATAATTAGCACAATCATAAGTTTTACCTTTCCCAGGCCACCAATGTCCCCTCAGCCTGCATCAAAAATACATTACCTGGTCATTATCCCATTGCTAATTGTGGGAGTTTCATGTGTGCAAATTGGCAGCCATATTTCCTACATTTCTTACTGACGACTTTTTTTACTGTAAGATGCTTTGGAATACCTCCATGACAAGAAAGGTTATAAAAATATCTTTCCTTGTGAACAGAAAGATGCATTCACTTCATTTTGGAAAATGCCAGTTGTTGAAAACTGTGTCATTCTCTCCTCTGCAAGAAGTTCCTGCTAAAATGTGATGTTTGTTGAGAAAATATAGTGAGAAGTTTTCTTCCCTTTTTTTACTTGTAGTCCATGGCAGATGTATGATACATATGTTGGAAAATTGAATTGGGCATCCACAGCTCCGGTAATACAAAAGAAGATGGTGTTTTAACACACAGTTTGCTAATGTTTGTTTCCCTAACACAGCTCTAAAAGCAGTTTAACTTTGTTCTACTGTTGTGGTTATAAAAGCAAGTATTTTTATTAAGGACCTCTTTGACTTCACTAAAATTAAGACCTTGAAGTTGGATGTGCCTTATTTTCAGTCATGCATGAGAATTTAAAGCCTCTATTTAATTTTTTTAAAATGGAAAATGACTTCAAAATAGTTTAGTAAAATAGCTAATTGCATCAAGATCCTTAGAAAAAGAATGCTGTGAATGGCTAGAATTAGCTTGTTTATGGTCTTGGTAACTTTGTGGAACATTTGGATGGGAATTTGAGTCTAATTATATTCAGGCATGATGTAGTAGTCTTGGAAGGTAAGTTGTATTTGTGGCCATGCTTCTTTTAACTCTTCGTTGCTCCTCTTGGGAGAGAATGAAGTTGGAAATAATGCCGGCAACTGCTGATTCCCTTGGAAATTGACTTTCTGAAATTGGTAAACTGTATTCTGTTAGAACTGTATGTATCCTTGTTGTTCTAGAGACTTGTTTTGATTTATATCCGCAAGAGATGGTGATATTAGTGAATTTGAAAACTACAGAGCAGTCTCATTGATATTTAAGTTGGTTCTTTGAGTTGTCATTAAGCAGCCAATCACACCCTCTTGGAGACAATGCAATCAGTAAGGGACACGCTGTTTTTCTGTCTTCTGAGGAATATATCATGTATTGGTATGCTCTTAAATTTTGGAGAACTACACTTCAACCACTTTTGTTAATTTGTATAGGCCAAGTGCTTCACACAACCCTCATGGTCCAGGATGTGCGCATCAAAATTTGATAAGACCATGTAATGGAAACAAAAGACTCACTAAATCTCACATTCACACAAGACAACTGATAGAGTCATAGGGCCATACAGCACAGAACAGACCCTTCAGTCCAACCAGTCTATGCTGTGCATAATCCCAAATTAAACTAGTCCAACCTACCTGCTCCTAGCCCATGTCCCTCCAAACCGTCTCTATTTATGTACCTATCCAAGTGTCTTTTGAACGTTGTAATTGGAGCCACATCCACCGCTTCCTCAGGAAGTTCATTCCACACACGAACCCCTCTCTGTGTAAAAAATTTGCCTCGTCTTTTTAAAATCTCTCTCCTCTTGCCTTAAAAATATGCTTCTTAGTCTTGAAATCCCCCATTCCATGGAAAAAGCAATTACCGTTAACTCTATCTATACCTCTCATTATTTTATAATTTTCTATCAGGTCCCTTCTCAACGTCCTACGTTCCAGTGAAAGAAGTCCCAGCCTATCTTTCCAACTCAAACCTTCCATACCAGGCAACATCCTGGTAAATCTCTTCTGAACCCTGTCCACTTTAATAATATCCTTCCTATAACTGGACGACCAGAACTTGATGCACACACAAAGTCATCCATTCTGTTCAGTGTTGCCATTAGGAATCCTGTAAGGTAGATGATCTCAGGATTTCAGTTTATGCTGCACAGTTTCTTTTTTAAGGTGACACTGTGCTACAGGTTGGTACACTAGAGGATATATTTTATTTTTCTGGGCCTATGCGTTAACCAGTCTGATCTGTGCTGCATGCTTCACTGTCCTGTGTCATGGCCTTACATGGCACACAATGGAACATCAGCAGGATCACAAAAGGGGTGTTTATTTAGAAATCCTGGCAGTGTCAGCTTTAACCTTGCAGTCTTTTGGAACTGTGCAGAGAAGGAGTGAAGCATGCTTCATTTGATTCCATCTTTTTTCAGTTATTACAGTATTCTGAATGAATGAAGGCCTATTCAACATTAAACATATAAGACTCTCTTGACCTCTGAGAGTATTCTATAGTTTATGGTATCCTAGTGCTTGTCAACCTACATCGGTTCCCAGTTAAGCAACGTATTGATTTTAAAGTGTTCAACCTTGTTTTCCCTTTTACAGTGATTGTGATCTCCTCCAGCTGCACAATCCTCTTCCCAATTCTGGCCTTTTGAGCATCCTCGATTTTAATCATTTCATCATTGGTGGCTTTGCCTTCACCTACCAAGAGCATGAGCTCTGGAATTCACTCCTGAAACCTCTCTGCTTCTCTGTTCCCTTTAAAATGCCACTTCTGCTGAAATATCACCTTATGGGATTTGGTGTCAACTTTTGCTTTATAAGGCTCCTGTGAAGCACCTTGAGATATTTTGTTGAATTAAAGGTGCTATATAAATGCAACTGTTGTCTGCTTCAAGCTTCTTAAATCGATGATTATATTATGGGAATTTGAGGTTGTTTTTAGTTCCTGTCAATTGATTTCACTGTTTCCCCAAGCCAAGCAGCCTCTTATTAACTTTTATACATCCCCAAATATGCAGCAGGGAGACAGTTTCCATTGACATACGATAACAAAAGTAGGCAAAATTGCTGTGCAAGGACACAAACTGCTGACAAGACCAATTTTGAATCAAAAAGACTTAATCTACTCGAAACTTTGAAGTGTGGAAAATCTTCCACTGTGGAATTTTGATGCATTAATATCGAACAGACTGGCTGGAAATGCAGATATGCAGAGGATCTCATGAAAGATAGGTGCTGGAGAAGGCAATTGACATTTGTTTAGCTTTTGACCTGTTATTCCCTGTTGTTCCAACATTTCCCTTCATATAATTTTCTCCTAAGTAAATATCTATTTCTCTTTGAAAGGCCTCAATTGATTTTGGATCAAAGGCCTTTTTGGAGAAGCATGTAAATATCGTGGGAGTGGAAGAAGAGAAAAAAAAAAGTGCCAGCATGAAATTGGAGGGGCAGGAGAAAGATGCTGGGGAGCAGGGAGAATGCCAGTCTGAATTGTTGGAGAAACTGGGGGGAGAAAAGTCAAAACATCAATTAGATTTATCTGGGGCTGAAGTCTTGTGTTTTCTATAAGCAACCATATAATAGATGTGATGGTGGAACTGTGCTTTTAACATACAGTCTGCTGATTCCAACAGGATAAATATTGTGGAGACAAAAGCACTCTCTGTGAATTAAAATTCTGATTTCTCCCAAGAAGTGGAAGAATTCAATTTAACTTCTTCCAGCATCTATATCGCTGTTCTCTCCATCACCAGCCCCTCCTACCTCACTGTCTCTGCCTCCTCTATTTGCTAATTCTCTCTTTTGCTCCCTCTCCTACAGTACATTAGGACCATCATGCTTCTGCTAGCTCTCTGAATGAGCGATTCAATTAGTCCCACCTGCCCATTCTGCTTTTGAAAGTTACGACTGAATCTGTTTCCACTGCAGTCCCGGACAGTTCATTTGAGATCCCAAAAGCTCATTGTAAAATGATTTCTCTGCATTGCCTCATTTTTTTTTACCAATTGCCTTAAATCAGTGTCCTCTAGTTGCTGATCCGCCTGTCGTTGGAAAGAGCTTATCCTTATTTTCTCAATTCAAACTCTTTACAATTCCAAACACCTCTGCTAAGTCTTCCTGCGGTAAACAGGGACAGGAAGAAGACATGATGTACAGACACAATGGGCTGAACGTCCTCTTGTTCCGTACATTTTCCATGTTTGTAAGAACTACCTAGGAGACACCAAGATTGAATGAAACTGTTTCCTGCTCACCAGCTTTTGGGGAGTGGGAACGAGCAGGGATGCAGTGGACTGCAGCAGGAGCTCATGGGAAGGGTTTTCTGGTAACATTGGGTGGATACTGGAAGAAACTAGGGAGGAGACGACAGAAGCACTGATATCCGTCCATCAGCTTTCAACAGAAAAAGGCTCAATGCCAGACAACTGGGAAATGGCAAATACAACTCCTGTTTTACTGAAGGGAAGTGGAACCAATATACTGGCTTAATGTCAGTGGTAGGAAAAATACTTCATTAAAACGCTTCACCCCTCACCACATTCATTGCTTCAGTGTAGCTGAATAAACTGTACACACTAGGGACGTAAACTGGACCTTTACTGGAGTGCGTGACTCAGCTGCTAACTGTTTAAACATGCCAACTCTTTAGGGACAGATAAAACACAATAAAATTTTCTCTGGTGTATTCTGTTATTTGACTGAAGCCATGTGATTCCAATTCTTTGTACTAGAGGTGAAGAATAAACAACAGTCCTCATTTTAATAACAAATAAAATCTGAGTTGGAAAAGGGTTGGATATCATGTTTTGTATAATTTTCTTGCTGTGTCTCAAAAAGTGTACATTTTAATTTTGCCTACAACAATTCTAACTAGCCTAACCCAGAATAGCAAATGAACATGTACAAAGCCTTGAAACATTATGAAACGCTTCAATATGAATGCTACCTTTGTTTTC